ATTGGCTGAATTAATCTGCGACACAAACATGATGATTAACTTGTCGAAATTTAACTGAGATTCAACCGTGTAACTAAATGCATTCTCTTATCACCAACTAAGCGGGGGGAGGGGGGGGGATGATACCGTGAATCCTTTAGATCCGGGTCGTGTTGGTGCTCGTGTCCGCAAAGAAAAGAATGGAGGCGGGAGTGTGTGTGTGTCCTTCGTATACTCTAAATAGAAGTATCGTGTAACCTAATCCTGGTGATCTGCAGAGAGAAATACAAGTCCTCGTTGGAATTTTCGGTCATTAATGTTAGGTTCAGTTTTCCACAACGCTGGTATCTCTGGGTAAGAACACGAGAGAATCCGGTTTTTTTATCAGAATTTCTTTTAAAATATGTACATAAAAATTTATTGATCTAGATTACATACGATTTCCATGTTTATTAATATATATAATATCTTAGAGATACTTCTGTATGGATGTTACATCAACGTAGTAAACAGCAATTCAATTAGAAATGTAAACATGTAAAGACTGTGGGGACGAGGATGGAGGGTTGGCGTGAGTGTGTGTTGCCCCGGCCCTCACCCGCCGCTTCTCACGGTAATAATGTGTACAAGTTATCGCTGCACATTACACACCTACGCCGCCGCGCCACCGACCCCTCATGGCTTGTCTCTGCTTGTGTAAATTCCTGGGATAATGTTAGAGACACACAACACGAAGGAATTTTTCACTTTGGAGAAAATTTGTTTTAATAGTTCGTGGTGTGAGTCATCGTGAACTGGTGCTCTGGCCTCTCACACTGACTTGTCTATATAATATGTAATACATTATTATTGTATGTATAGTTTCCTTGAAAGAAAGAATAACTAATTTTAGATAATATGAGCAATGCGTTAGAGTCATGAAGCTCACCGTCAGATACTGTAAACTAAGGTATTTAGATTTTAAATGTACTGTAATTGCAGTCGGAGTGACCTCGGAGGTAAGGTTCATGAGGTACACAAGTTGCCACAAAATCATGGTTGTGGGGAGGGTGCGTGAGGTGTGGGGCCCTCAAGCTGTAGTTGGACACACACTGAAGGACAGATAAACTGAAGCGGTGCTGGTGAGGGCCACAACACCATCAAGTATTCTTTGGTGGCGGTGATGAAGTACTGAGAGGAGTTTGATCCTTCTGGCTGACCTCTAGGTGGGTCACGATCCTACACTGGCTGCAGGAGGACTGAAACTTTTGCTGCACGCTGCAATTCCCGTGAGCCCAAAACTTGCTCCCGTAGAGCTGCAGATTGATTGACAATTTAACATTTCAGGAGCGGATCCAGGAATATCAAAAGGGGTGCTGCCCACATTTGGGGGGCACTCAGCCCCCCCCCACCCCCGTTTTTGTTTTTAATGTGACCAATATCTTGGCCATTTTGAAGCCATGCACACTTGATATTAGGGGATATTAAGTCACTAGTAAATACTTTTTACTCTACAAAAATGTCTGAGTACAATACTGCATAATGAAAAAGTACTGGAATTTTCTGGTGAAAAGGGAGGTCCGGACCCTGACCCCCCCACTGGATCCGCCCTTGCATTTACACCACTGTCTTACAACATTGTAGCCTTCACTCGACCCGTGGTGGGAGGGTAGTTCGATAGAAGGCTGGGCTAGATGGGTACGAGGGGCACACAGTGGATAGGCGGAAGGGATGAAATGGATAGATAAAGGCGATGGTGTAGAGCTCGAGACTATACCTGGAGGGTGTTTCACCCACCTGGATGGGTGACTTAAAAGTAATTACAACGTTGTTCTAGTCACTGGATCCCAGTATTCAAATCATAACTTGAGTACTGGGAGTTACGTAGTGCGCGTCCTGACAAGTGGATTAATCAGAGGTTGGGCTTCAAGGACCCGCTCGTCTCTGTTGTACACGTTGTATTTTGTTATTTATGTGTTAATTCTATTATGTTTCATATTATTTTTGTTATTCTTCCCTAAAATAAAGCAAACACATAACTTTAGAATTGGAGTATAAATTATATATCAACAAAACAGATTCACTCCCACTGGGCATAGGAGAGTGTACTGGTTCACGGGGATGACAGTGGTCATCGAATCTTTACTGTTGGGATAAGTTTCCCTCATTTCACTTGGGTTTAATTCAAATATAAATATATGGAAGCGAAATCGGGTGAAATCTGTTATCCTAAAACTACAGTGGTGAGAAGTTTTTCTTTTTCTTTTAGTGAGGATTTAGAGGTCACTTGAGGGTTCCACCGTTGACATGATACTACTCTTGTGGCCAGAGTGTGTACAGGAGACGTTTATAGTGTTTATAAGGAAATACAAATCAGTAGTGATATGTTAACTGTGATCTTTAAAGGTGATTACTGGTACAATAAGTCTCCCCCCCCCTTCCCCACACCCCCACCCCCGTATATTGATTGGAATGTCCTTGGAGGTTTACTTGTAACATGGCAATAGTGATTTTTAATAATAATAGTAGTGAGGATAATAGTATTTATTCAGTAAAATCACCATAGAAATTTACATTTGTTTTGGCATATATACTGTATAAGCAATGCAGGTGTAGTATACAGTTCTTCGTGTCACGGCTACTACAACTATTACTGTATTGCTACTCCTAATTTGAGTAAGCAAGACTGTGTAAGCGCATGTATTTACATGTGTGTGTGATAATAAATAATAATAATTATCGGTTTATTGAAAGAGCATGGCAGCCGGAAGGCTGAAAATATGTAGTTACATAATTAACGAATGGGTCTCTTGATTGACAAATAATATACAAGTAACATAAGTGGTACAAATATGATATATAATAACAAGGAAGGAGAAGGTTATACTACAGGCATTTTCAACATAGTGACAGTGCAAAAAAGTAAGATTGACTGGGAGTGAATACACTGGTTGATTACGAGTTGTTAATAATTTTTACAGTGGTTGGGACTGGATGCGGTTGTGGTGTTGAACAGCAATTCGCGGACGAGGGATCTTGGGTGGAAATAGGAGCCGGTGTCGAGGATGGTGCAGAAGCTTCTCACCAGATTTACATATGAGGTCGTGGTGATGGTCAGAGAGAGCCGAGAGAATCAGTGTGTTGAGCGCTTCTTGATATGTGGAGTAGGAAGAGGAGAGAATAATCTTGCTCGCCCTCTTTTGCACTTTTTCTAGGTGTTTACGTTGTGTGGCATTTATGGAGGAGGACCATGCAGGGGAGGCATAGGTGAGCTTGGGAAGTATGGATGTTGAGTAAATACTGAGGAGATCGGGCGCAGGAACTCCGAGGGACTTGAGTCGGCGGAGGAGGTGGAGACGGAAACTGGAGGATTTGACAACTTCACTGACGTGTGTTATCCGATTTAGTTTGTTATCCATAGTGACGCCGAGGAGCTTAGTGGAGTCTACAACCTGGAGTGTGTTGGGGCCTAAAGTAATGGAAGAAGGTGGGACAACGTCGGAAGGTGGGACAACGTCGGGAGATGGGACAAGGTGGGACAACGTCGGAGGAGAGGTTGATGCACATAACCATGGTCTTGGTAAGGTTGATGGTGACGTGGTTGTTGGTAGCAGGCCCGGATTATCCATTAGGCACAGTAGGCACAGTGCCTAGGGCCTACGAAAAATAAAACGAGAACTTTTCTTCCCCTTTTTCTACAGGTTATTATTAAATTGATACTGAGGTACTTTTTTTCCATTTATTTATTACTTAATCCTATTAGTGTCCACCAGCTAGCTGTGCTTCTTGTAAACAAAACTATTTCTGTACTGTACAAGAACAGCTGATCTAACCCATTTTCTTTTACTCAATTCATGGCAAACATCACTGAATCTTATTCTTTCGACATCACATTTTATAATTAGGTACTAGCTTGTGTTATTAGTGAATATGCTGTCAAATGGGGCCCCATATCTTGGAGGTGCCTAAGGCCTACGAAAGTCTTAACCCGGCCCTGGTTGGTAGCCCAGTTTTGAAGACTTCAGTAAATCCTGTGCGTGCGTGTGTGTGTGTGTGTGTGTGATGGCAGATCTGCTTTGTACTGTCGTTAACAGAATATAACCCGAACAACATAGCGTGTCATGGCAATGTTTTAATCATACAGAGTATTTCATAACTGCTCCTGTGCTTTGTCTGAGAAACTGTTGAGGTGGGGTGTGTGAGCTCCACCTTCATCGTGAGACTACCTAATTATTGAACTAAAAAAAAACAAATTTACTGAACTAGCATTGTCCGCTCGCTTTTTTTTTTTACTGCTTGGGTATTGAGTGAAATACTAAGAGTGGCGTCCTTTAGTGAAGGGATCAGTGGAGAAGTTTATTAAACCTTGGCTTCGACATCCTTCCAGCCAGGGTCTTAAAGAAACTATGGATTGTGACCATACTACCTAGGATTTACTGCCAAGAAAAATATTACATAAATCAGTCTCGAGAAGAGGCGCCTTTGGATCCCGAATTTGGGTGAATACGGACAGTGAAGGAGTATAAGTAGTCCGTAGAGGACTAGGTGTAAGAGCTATACACTGTGTCAACTAAAGAATCAGTAGGTTTATCTGTTATCTGTCGTAGTTATTAACTTTTACTCTACACTCTGCAGTATGTACTACTATACTGTATGTTGTGTCAGCCGGTTAGCTACGTACTGCAATGTTCCGCGTATTTAGATATAATGGGATATATCCCTGTAACTTTTGCAGATATATTTTAGCTGACGATTCATGTTCTTTTGAGGTTTAAAGTTTTAAACTTAATATTGTTGTATCATTCTGGATGACATTGCAGTGCACGCAATATATACTTCAGTCTTATATCAACAAGCATCTGATAGAAAAATAATATATATTTATTTATGTTACGTATAATTCACGTATGATATCAATTAAAAAAATTTATAAATATGATTTACTTTAAGATAATTTATTTATTTCGTATTTTCTGTCGAATTATAATTTTACTCCCTATCAGTGACACTCAGCTCCTTCAGCAGATGCGTGCTAGGTGTCAGTCGGGAGGACTCGGTCACAACATGGGCTCGTCGGTCATGGATCTTCAACAGGAAATTCTTTTCTCTCTTGAGAAAGATGGAGTCGTCATATCAAATGAATTTGGAGAATCTATAAAGGAGTCACACCAAAAAATTGTAGGGGCCATCAAATCCTTGGAATCGCTTGGGAACGTGAGTATGTGTGCATATGGAGAAGGGGCAAACTTTAGGTGTTACAGGCCATGTGTTTCTTCGTGTTGATGAACAGTATGTTAGAAGGGCCCTAGATAATGTAGGTGAATATTAGGTAGCTGTGAGGACCTGCAGTTTTATTTATAATTATTGTTCAATGTTGGGTATTATTCCGTAAATACCGGCTGTCGTGCCCACAGCTATAACGCTTCTCGGCTAGGTTTTTTTTTTTTTTTAATATGCTGATTAGGGTATAGGTGAGTACAATGACCTGGTTTGGTTCTTTTAGGTTTTAACCACACATTTTCTCTCAGTTTGGTGAGGCAAAGATTGACTTGGTAGAAAGGATTATAACTCAATAATTAGGCATTTCCCCAAACTTTCAATGTCACCAGGGTTCAGCATGAAGAACTGCATTAAAAAATATTGTTTTTTCCTGCCTAAATCATGTGCCAGTGTTTGTATAATAATTACCAAAATATTTTAAACTTAATAAGGTATTTTTAGTTTGTCATCCTGGGAATCGATTAGGTTACATTAGGTTTAGTTAGGTGACGTTAGGTTAGGTTGGTTACATTGGATTAGTTTGGATATCTAAATACAGGGCTTACCGGAACTAAAATTTTGTCCATAAGAAAGCATATTTGAATAAATTAGTTATTTGTTATCATGTTGGCATTATTTTACGTAGTGGATACAGGTACGGCAGCCGTATTGGGGGACTGTTGTTAATGGTTAGGGTAGAGTAGGTTGGTGAGGTGAGGTGAAGTGAATCAGAAAGAAGGCCATTCCTAGTAAGTCTCATTGTATAGTCTGCCCACCACACTTGCGCATTAGACTGCCATACCATTAGACATCGATGTTTTGCGTACAACTGCCATACCTGTATCATTATTTTCACATTGTTGTGCACATTTCTGGAGTATTACTGAAGTTAACCTTTGCAGGCAAACTGTGTATTTTGTAGTTTGTTACTTTACTTACCCACCTTAATTATCATGTTAAGAAATATTGTTTCTTGTAATGGGAGGATTTAACCAAACTGTCAGCGTCCTTTCTCTGTCAAACTGGGAAATTATTTTTTTCAATGGATAATACTAACTTGAATTACACTGTACACATAAACCACCAATTTTTTACTTGCATTAAAGACAACTTCTCTTTTACGGTGAGAAAACCATAAATGAGGTGCAGTAACAGCAATTTTTGTGCTTTTATATTTCCATGATTTTTGTTTCCAGAATATTAACTTACATCTGTCTGTATTACCTATTCTAACACCATTGTGCACTGGGTCTGTTATTTACCTATGAATACATCCAAATACTTCATATACTGTATATGATTGCTACAATATGGGATATGATTTACATGACAAGATGAACTAACCAAACCTACCTATCCTAAGTGAGGTTAGGTAGGGTTTGGGTGGTTCATCATATATCTGTATAAACCATTTTACTTAGCAGTTGCTGTAAGCTTTCATATGTAAAGGTTACTGGTAAGCAGTTATGTAAACAACACATGAAGTGCAAAGTGGTGTTGGATGGATGTATATTGCTGTTCAAGATGAAAGATTATGGGAAAATTAAAGTAAAAAAATTGCAATTCCTGTACATGTACCTCGTTTCCAGTTTTCTTATTGCAATAGACTTGCATTCACTGTAGAATTAATTAGTATGAATAAGGTGTCTAATGCTGAAAATTCAATATTTTTTCATATATCGGCTTTTCCGTAAAAATAAGAAGCTTCCAGAGTGTTGCTGTTATTTGGTTCACATATGGTAAGAAGAACTTCATATTTATGAGTGATTAAATAGGTTAAATTTTACCAAAGGTTGGGTGAATAAGTCAAATCCAAACTTTGAAGCAGCACAACTACATACAGTATATGGTACTGTACATATGGTACATGTAAAGGATGCCATATGCTAGTACTGTTCTCTTATCTGTATTACACTGACTGTGTCAGGTGTGGCACAGGAGCTTGTAAACCTGATGTGGCTATGTTTGAGGATGTATTCTCTCATATTCTGGAATAATTGTCAGATGATTTAAACTTAGATCTTTTTCATTCCCTAGTCATTAGTTTTATGATATAGACTGAAAAATAGAAGCTAATTTGCATTGAAATTTGTTTAACTAAGTTACATGTTTTCTTATTTCAGGTTGTTAATGTGAAACAAAATGCTCTTAAAACATGGGAGTGCACAGAGGAGGGTACAGGTGTTGCCACGGAGGGTTCTCATGAGGCACGACTGTTCAACTCCCTGCCACCAGAGGGCCGTTCTGTGGCTGATATTAAAGATAATTTTCCAAATTCAAATTTTGCTTTAGGAGCAGCAATGAAAAATAAGGTAAGAAAGCTAAATGGTTAGAATTTGTATTTGTTGGAAAAAGTTCAGTATACCCTGTCTTCATTGGTTACATAATATTTTTTCCCCAGAATTAGGCTGAATAATTACCTTGCTAGTTAACTAGAGTTTATAGGAACGGAACTGTTTGTGAATCATCACCATCTTATGAAGTAATTTTGAGGTACAGTATATTATTCTTTTGAGTTACTATACTGTAATTATTTTTCTGAGTTTCATCAACTGCAGAATGTGATGGACTATTGATTATTATGTCCTCTGTCATGTTATCATATTTTCCAGTGGTTAAAAAAGGAAGGAGAGAAAGTGGTCCCAGCCATGACGTCCATTGAGGACCAGGTGCAGAAATACCTTCAGGCCATCACTGCTGGAGCTGCTGATAGTGTACCAGACAACGTCAAAGTTGAATACAAAAAAAGGAAATTGATAAGAGAAGTGTAAGGAATTCCTACTGGGTTTTCATAAAAACCTGTTAGGGAATTTTTTATTTTAATTGATTGTTGTTTCAAATGAGTACTATGCGAGTTTGTTACAAAAAAAAATTATTAGGATCATATGGGAAAATTTCTCTTGACAGTAAATAGCAAACTCAAATGTTTATTCTCATATTTGCACAAGTTTTAAGATTAATAGACCTTAATATATAGATGTTCCATTGTCATACATCTTCATTTAGGGAACAGGGAGGTAATTTTTGTTATCATTGTTTAATTTTCAGTGCCCAACATAGATTTATGGTGAATATGATATTAATTCAATTCAAGGACCAACATGAATTTGGCTGGAAAATTTGCAGATCATTTGGATGGTAAACATATTGGTCAGATATGCTCTTCTGTGAAACTGATATAGGGCTCAGATTTGACTTATTTGCAGTCCAGGTGATGTACTTCTCATCAAATGAGCACAATATATTCATATCTATGAGTATTACTGAACGATTAGCTCTTATACTGAGCTACAGTTTTTCATTTCCAGCGAGATGACAGTATTTGAAGTTACCAAAGGCAATGAGTTCACTACATCTATTGTAAAGCAAGAAGGAGAGCTAACTAAAGAAATGATTGAAAGTGGACAGTGGAAGAAGACAACCTTCAAACCTTTCAATTTCAAATCAAAGGTACAGTGTGAGAACTCAGGTCCATATTATATAAATTCATGGTTTTCATGTATGAAAATGTTAACCAGTTGAAAAAATAGCATTACATGTGTATACATTGCAGTACTGTAATAATATTCGACAATTTTTCTCCAGGGAAGAGTTGATCAACGGTCTGGCTACTTACACCCGCTAATGCAGCTCAGATCTGAATTTCGGCAAATCTTCTTAGAAATGGGTTTTTCTGAAATGCCCACCAACAACTTTGTTGAAAGTGCTTTCTGGAATTTTGATGCTCTCTTCCAACCTCAACAACACCCAGCCAGAGATGCCCATGATACTTTCTATGTAGCTGAGCCTGGAAAGACAATTAATGTTCCTGAAGATTACTTACAGAAAGTTAGTTACTATGTGTCGTTGATCATTTCTTGTACTTCTTAATTTTATTGATACTGTTATTTATACGTTATTCTATACAGTCTTCGCTGGGAATGAATACGAATTGAGGAAATTAATTCCTTTGAAGATGTTTCACTTGGAGAACTTTCATATTCTGCTAATGCAAATTTCATGTATAGTACTAAAAATGAGTGGAGGAAGGGTGTGTAATGGATCTTCATCTTTATGAAACACTATTATACTTGAAATTAAAGAGAGGCAACATAACAACAGAGGAGAAAGTCTTCGTGCATATAAAAGTATTTGGCAAAACACATACAGTATTGACATAATTTGGCAGTTTTCTTGGATGTTATTTTACTGTAATCTAACTTCCTGTCTTGATTTGTTCAGGTGAAGAAAACCCACTCTGTTGGTGGCTATGGTTCCATTGGATATCAGTATGATTGGAGCAGAGACGAAGCTCACAAGAATCTACTCCGTACTCATACTACAGCTGTTAGCGCACGGATGCTCTACAAACTTGCTCAGGTACCATCAATGTGATTGCACTTTTTTCCATTGTGTTCAGATTATCATTCATCTTCAAATGCCAGTGTTATTGAAGCTCTCTCCACTCACTCATGCATAGAGATATATACCAACATGTGAGCACTTTTTCTACCAGTCTTTATATCTCACATTCTGTTTCTCTCTGCTACTATTTTTATTTCTTTTGTGCAAATTAATTTTCAGGAAGTATTTTGCACTATGCAATCTATCCACCTTTTGTCAGCTTTACTCCCTCTCAATCCTATAGTTTATATTCCATTTTAATTTTAATTTACATTTAATCTCCTGTTTTTGTAAGTTCATTATGTTTTTCTTCATTAAGAGTGAATTTCAGCATCCAATATCCCTTGCATTGAAACTGGCAATGTGGAAGTTGAAGTATGATTGTTAGGGTGAAAAAGTTGTGCTTTTTTAAGATCTTTTGATAATGAAAGAACATTGCAACTGAAGGCCAGTTGAGCATTATGTTTACCCTTAGTTATTTTAGGTATTTCAGCTGGATAAAGTGACATGATCCTAAGATCATTCACTTGGAGGAAGTCTTGGCTTCCTTATTTAATAAAATACTGTGATGAAAATCACCTGCCCAACCTGTAAAGTATTGTTTACCTTGGTCGTCACTCATTAAATTAATTGTCCTTACAGTTGGGAGATTCTAACTTGTACATTACTTGTATACAGGTATAAGGTATTTAAAATGTAGTGTGAAAAGTTTATCTTATTTAACGTTTTATGGAATTATTTGTTTTTCAGGACGGATTCCAACCAGTGAAATTTTTCTCCATTGATCGAGTATTTAGAAATGAAACATTAGATGCAACACATCTTGCTGAGTTTAACCAGATTGAGGGTGTGGTGGCAGACTATAACCTGAGTATCAAGAACCTCATGGGGTTAATAAAGGTAAAACCCTAATTGTGCATTTATACAGTATATAGGTACTGTATATGCATAGTACTGTATATTGAATGATTTGTTACTTTTATTGTAAGTGAAAGGCATGAAAATTCTTGAGCTTTGTTATTAGTTTACCATCTTACAAAGAATATTTCTCTCTATCCAGTATAAAGGTTTAGAATTATTTATCAGGAAATATTAATTGACTTCCTAGTGCCTATAACTGAGCTGGTGCATCACTGAATATGTTGTAAATTTTACTGAAATATAATTTTTTTTAAATTTATTTATTTTTTTTTTAACTTGGAGGACAGTGGGGGAGCTTCTGCTGTTACCTGAGTCTGATCTTAATCTCTTCACCTTTCTTGAAATTTCTGTAGCAATTGATGAGATAAATTTAGTTTGGGGTATATTTTGCAGACATTTAATCAGTTAAAGCTGTATGTGCTAGATAGGAAAATGATACTTTGTCTCATGTGCTTTACAGAAGGAAAACTGTTTATTAGTTTAAATAATACAAGGATGTACTGTATTATGATCTAGGTGTGCAAATGCACTTGTCCCTAATGATTTTTATTTATTTATTACAGGGATTTTTCGAAAAGATTGGCATAACAAAGTTACGCTTCAAACCAGCATATAATCCATACACTGAACCATCCATGGAAATTTTCAGGTAAACTAGTTTTTGTACTATTTCACCCCCTATTCTTATTTATTTTTAATTAGTGCAGTATCTTTTGAACTAAAGACATGCAAATCTCTTATTATATATCACACTGGAGCATCCTCTGCTATTAGCACACTACAGTAAAAAAAAAAAAAAATATACAGTAGTACCCCGACTTACGTGGTCAATTGAACCCACAGGGTACCGCGGAAAGTGAAAACCACATAAAGTGAACAACAGAACATATGGGATTAATTCCAATAGAGACTGGCCCGACCCCCAAACTCCACTTTTTCCGACACAATACCTATGTTGTAGTAAAAATAACATCTAAATTTTATGATGGTATGCTCACACAATTAATATTTAAGAGAAATACAGTCGCCAGGTTAATGCCCATTCAAATAATGGACTCAAATCCCCCCCCCTCTTCCCAGCTCACTAGCTCCTACCTCTCTGAGAAATGTTTGGGTGAAACCACTAGATTTTAACGTTTAGTAATAAATAATAACTCAGACTAAAGTTAAGATAATATAATTGACATTTCTGGATTCCTTGCAGGTCAGGGAATGTTTTGAATGTAAACTTCATATATTTTGCACAAAAGATAAAATATTTCCTTTGTGTAAACCAAATTATTACATTAGATCTGAAATTTGTATGTCTAATGCAAAATCCATGATGTTTATATTCAAAATGATCATCATATTGTAAGGATTTCAGCAATGTAAATTATATTCTGGCAGGGTGAATTGTATGAATTTTATGAGCTAAATAAAAAAAAATTATACTTCACCGTGCGTATATGAGTAGATGCACAGCGGAAAGTGAAAGTCCGTCTCGCCCGTCTCTCGTAAATGAGAAATGAGAAATCGCGGAAAGTGAAACCTGTAAAGCGGGGTAATACTGTACATGAGGGGCCCCTGAGGGAAAAAACAAAAAAATGGTACAGTCACCCACAAAAGTTCTATCACCTCTCCTCCTGAACCATGAACCCCGAGATTCAGACTCAAAAATACGAATCATTTATGGACAGAATAATACATCAGTGAATACTGCTTTGGGTTCACGAGTCTGAATCTCGGGCTCGTGATTCAGGAGGAGAGGCGACAGGACTTTTGTGGGTGACAGTACTTTTCAGTTATCTGCCCCAATCAAAAACTAAAGGTTTCTAAGTACAGTACCAGATTTAGGGTTATCAGACATAATGGCTCAAACACTGGGCAATTGTAATATATACAGTATATGTATACTGTAGTAATATTTTGAAATGTTTCTATATTATGTGTTAAAAGTAAAATTCCTAGAGACATACAATAAATAAATGATGAGAAAAGCCAGTGGGTTTTTTATATAAAAAGAAGAGCATATCAGTTGTGTTAGCCAACCCAATAAATCTTTAAAAATTCACTTTTATTAAAAGGGCACTTCTCATATTCTACAGGTATGTACAGTATTTACCAAAGTACTGTATGCAGTTTATTTGCATCATAATTTACAGCTACTCAAGATTCCATTGTACAGTATTTGAATTATAATTATTCTGACAACAGTTTCAAATTATTTACTCTATAGATATTTACCTTCTGTAATTTATATACTGTACAGTAGACCCTTGCCATCCTCGAGGGATCAGTTCCAAGAAATGGCGTGAATTGGCAAAATCACAAATAGCCTCTTAAATAATACCTTAGTGCACTAATATACAGCTAAACCTATACTGTGTATGAGAAACTTTGTCACCAATACTGGAGCTTGACGAAGTGGTGTACTGTACATAGGGAGACTTCTGGTTACTGAAGCATAGTTGGATCATCAGGATCACTGGTGGGAGCAGTGGTGGTTGGTGGAGAGGCGGGTGGTGGAGTGGTGCGCGACCCGGAGGCAGGTGGCTGGGAGGAAGGTGTAATGGCAGCAGTAGTAGCTGGTTCTTTCTTGAAGAACATGGTGATTGGTAGTTGTTTCTTCTTTGCTTTGAGGCCTTTTAAACATTCCCTGGTAGGGAAACAATACCTGGTTAATTCCTCGGACCATCTTAAGGCTGCGTTCCATGAAAGGGTTGTGGTCAACAATGAAATCATTTACCATCTTTACCTGTCAAAATAGTTCACCCAAGTTTTCCAAGCTCCAACCTTCTTGTTGTAATTCCATAATGTCTTTTTCTTCATCTTCCTCGGCACTTTTACCAACTCTTCCAAATCCTTTTCTGTCAGTTCCTCTCTATGCCCATCAATCAGCTCTTCCATGTCTTTAGCAGCCATGTCCTCAAACCCCTCACCACCCAACTGACATGCAGCACTCAAAATGCCATTCACATCCTTTACTATGGACGGAAATCCCTGAAGTTATTCACACACTCAGGCCATAAGGTGTGCCAACAAGCATTCAATGTATTTGGTTTGAGTTCATTGAATGCTTCACTGATGTTGGTAATGCAGTCTGCAATGCTGTACTCCTTCCAACACTTGCTGACATCAAGGTCAGGGTCTGCATCCATGGCACTACGGATACAACCAAAAGGGAGTTGGGTGTAATATGCCTTGAAGGTGCGTATTACACCCTGATCGAGAGGCTGAATAAGAGCAGTGGTATTAGGGGGTACGAACACCACCTCTACACCTTGATGGCTAAACTACAAACTTTCTGGGTGGCCTGGTGCATTGTCTATCAGTAATAACACCTTGAATTCCATCTTCTTGGAAGCAAGGTATTTTTCCACTTCTGGGACGAAGCATATATGGAACCAATCCAGGAATGCTTGCACAGTTACCCTTGCCTTTTTGTTAGTCTGCCAAAAAACTGGCAAAGGGTACTTGTTTTTTCCCTTTAAGGCCTTAGGGTTTACTGAGTGGTAAAGCAAGCCAGGTTTGATGATGTGGCCAGCTGCACTGCCACAGAAGATGAGCATCACTTTGTCCTTGGCTGCCTTGAACCCAGAGGCACGCCTCTCCTGCTTGTTTATGTATGTTCTACCAGGCATTTTCTTCCAATATAAACCAGATTCATTGACATTAAGCACTTGCTCTGGTCTATAGCCTTTCTCTTCTATTATTTTCTTTAACTTGGCGGGAAATGCACCGGCAGCTGTGTGGTCAGCTGAAGCGGCTTCCCCAGTCGGCTTCACATTATGGAGCGGGAATCTTTTTTAAATTCTCGAACCAACCTTTACTGGCACAAGAAAAGTTGGTTCAGTCACTGCACTAGCCCCTTCAACACATGTTGACTCATCAAAATGAGCACAAGAACTTTTAGCCTTTTCATGAATCACATTGCTGTTGATTGGAACATTTTTGCAGTGCTGAACTTCAATCAAAATGTTCAGTGCTCTGTTTTTACTATTTTCTTGTCATGAACAACCTGCAGCTCTTGCAGGAGCACTCGCTTGAGCAGAATCGCGAATTGCTTGTTCATTCTTCTTTATATACCACACTGGATTCGTTCATATGAAACAACCAACCAATCAAGGCAGCACTCATCCTCTCTTAACCTGTCTAATAATAAAATTTTCTTTGCCAGGGTCATCACTGACTTCTGCCTTTTATGTTTCACTCCACTAGCACCGACACTAGGCAATCTTTTCGGGGCCATTTTCACAAAGTAGCACAAAATTTTGAGTGTGTGACACCGGATGCTAGGTCATGGGTACTGGGTGAGGGCAAACAGAGGGTGACTCATTGTGCTGTGGGAGAAGGCTCGCATGCTAGCCACCTGAGCCACCATCTGCTTACTGCGAATGGAAAGGGTCTACTATAGTTCCTGAAGCTGCAAGTCTGCAAGTTTATTGAGATTGTTAGACTATGTGGGGTTTATTTTGTACACTGTATTGTTTCTTCTGTGATTTTAGTTTTTTACCAATTTATATTTTCATAAAAACTTAATTTTAAACAAAATTACTACAGTACCTGTAATACCATTGATAGATGAATTCGTTCATCCAGTGCTGGCTTACTGCAAGTGTGGAAAATGGCAATAAAATGGTGAAGTTTACCTCATTTTTTTAGTAGATTTATTTTTTATTTTCAGTTACCATGAAGGTTTGCAGAAATGGGTAGAAGTTGGTAATTCAGGCATGTTTCGTCCTGAGATGCTGCGACCAATGGGGATCCCTGAGAACGTAACAGTAGCTGCATGGGGACTCTCTCTGGAAAGGTATAATAAATTTTTAGATTTTAATCTGTTTTACTAGGTTTTTTATAAACTGTGACCCATTAGCATGTACAATATTAAAATGTACTGTATTAAGAAAGAATAATAATGGGAAATACTGGCATGTCATTGGTATTCATCAGTACAATTTTGAAATGAAATCGCAATTTATCATTAGTTAATTGGAATTAATATACAGGTTAGTTGTGTGTGGTAATAAGGTTGGACCTTCCTGGTCTGGAATTCCTTGATCTGCTATGAGTTTTTCTTTTAATATGGAGATAATTCATCTGCTCACCTGTATTAAAGAAGAAAGTTACATTTAGATAAGTAATGAAGAAGCCTATTATATTAAATCCAGGAGTATTACCGGAAAACAACTAAAGTTTCTATCGTAATTGAAATATAAATACAGTATAAATATACATATATAATTTTTTCTTTATTATAGGCCAGCAATGATAATGTATGGGATTAACAACATCCGTGAGCTAGTGGGTCCTCGAGTGAAGATGGAGCTGATCCTGGACAATCCCGTCTGCACTATTGACAAGTAGGCTTTTTCTACTGTCTGCCTCCCACTTTATCTTTCTGATACACCTCCACACTTACTGGCACTCCTATTTTGTATAAATAGTAGAATATGACATGTAGTTTAACCCCATTGACCCAGGGATTAACACTTTTATCTCTCAAAGGACCAATTTTGTATCTCCCAAGCAACGGGAGAATTAAAGATTCAATCACTCAGACTTAAAAGTGTGTAGTACAGGTTTATGACTTCTAGAAATACAGTTGCTGTGAATATCTCTTCTGGAAATACACTCCAGTTGCATACCTTCTTATTTATCTGAGCTCCACCCACATATAACATCTACATTGGAAAAGCCAGTCAAAATGATTATGAACTGTGTTGGGGCAGGAGATGCAGGATGGGTAGGAGTTAACAGTCTTGTGTGTGTTACTTTTAGTGATCAAACTGCATTTTATAACATATTGTAAGTAGACATTCTCAGTAACAAGAAACTTCATCATGACTTTAAGTGATAGTAAATATGATTCCATACAAAGCAAATTGAATCTAAAATCTGAAACTCACTGGATCCAAGTGATGTCAGCATAATAGGTAATGAATATTAAGATGTCTCATTTTATAATTAGTAGGCCAAATGGTTACTAATCTGGGAAATTTTGTGATTTTGAACCATATGGTGTGCAGTAACTCATCACTTAGCTTGATAATAATTAATGTGCCCTAACCCTACAGTGCTATATTTTACATGGGTAAATAGGTTAGGTACACAAAATCAATATCCTCTGGAGAAGTTTTATGAAATGACCTCAGAGATAAGAATATGTTGATGGAGGCTGCAAGAGACCACACACCATGGAGAGTTACCATTGGGTAATGTTGGTTATACATATGCCAGTCTTCACCATAATTAGTCTACAAGTGTTCAACACATCATTATCTCTAATAACTTAGATCAGTTAAAACGAAAATGATATTACTTTGGCAATGCAATGCTGATCTAGCTTCAGAAAAGGAATAAACAAAAAGCCAGGCACGCGAGTTTCTTATTACTGATCCGTCCCAGGTTGAAAGAGTTAATGTTACTGTAGCTGAGTAAAATTTTTAGTGTTTCCAATGGTTAGTAATTCAAGTTAATGGGGAATAGAAGGCTGTTATCCATTAATTTATAAACCACAAAAAAGGATAAATACTTCAAGTAACTTTTTTTTTTTTAAGCTCTTATGGGTGATATGTAGGTGGAAGATGTCTCTTATGAAACACGAGTAATTTACATTCGTATTCAGAGATTTGTAATTGCTTCATACTATAAAAATATCCTCTAAGAAAATTTAAATACTTTTTACTGTCTCAAACTCTATGAAGATAATATCTTTATATTATAAAGAATGATTTAAAAATTTAGAAATATCATGATGAGACAGTACAGTAGTGCATCGTAAAATAATTCTTATTGCCTTCTTAGGATAATACTGGAAACGAATGTAAACATAGAACCGATTACTGAATTGGCAGACTAGCCCATCAGCTGATGCTCACAACAAAATGTGATATTCGTATACTGTAGTACAGGTATTCCCCAATTTATGAAAACTTTTCATAAATCAAATTACAGTTTTTCATAAACTACCATTATTAAATCTTAGACATGTTCCTGAAAAAAATTCCCTTTTAACATTTTCAAATGACACCAAACATGTTTTTAATATAAAGTTTTGGAGTACACAGTAATTATAAACCATTAGTAAACACTTTCTCTTGTAACACCTACACACCTTCATTGTACATAATTAGCGTATGAAATTTAGGTGTACAGAATAGTTTTATTTGTTTTTCCACTTACTGTATTGCATGCTGATGGTGATAAAGACATGAGAGTACAGTAAAAACCCTGAGTACCGGACCACCTGACTAATGACACATCTGAATAACAACACGAATTTGGGGAAAAAATTTTAAATTAAAAAAAAATCTTTAAAGTATCTTGTGGGTCGTTATTATTGTCGTGGAGCAACGTGGTGTGGACCATGTGGTCCCACCCACATCATAACAACACAGCCACACTGTACTCAGTCTACACATGGCTATTATTCAGTGAAAACGTGCCCAAGCAAGTACGTTTAGGTAAGGCCCCCAAAGAGCAGAAGGCGTTTTACTGTTGACGATGAATGCTCTGTTCCGAGATAATGCAAAAATTTTGCATTATAGCGTAATGAAAGCATATTGTAACTGTGATCCATTTCATCTCCACTGAAAATAGATCTACACTATTCTGTGTGGGAGATGAACTTATGTATGAATGCTACATCACTCTCTCTCTCCAATGAGACGTCACTGCATACACATCAGAGCAGCCACACGCATCTCAAGTCAGTTAGCTGAGTGAACTCGTCCACTCTTGGTGTCACCCATAGGATGGCTCAAGGGCAGGAGCTATTTTTTGTACAAAAAATATGCGCTCTTGTATTTTATGGTGTGCTCTGAATTATTTTCAGTGTTTATAATTGTAATATTTGCTTGTGTTTGACATATATAAAATACAGAATAATGAAGGATTGGAACCTATTCCCCTTTTACTCATTGTTAAGTCTATGGTATGACAATGGAATTCCCAAGAATGAAGTGAAATTCATAAACATATCCAACAACAGAATTTACTGAAAGTATATCCCAAGTATGATTATTTTACTTGAGCTAATTTATTATGAGCTTGTCTGTGTTATTATAATATGCTGGTTGTTGTTTTGAACAGTTGTGCATACCTGTTGATATGAACATCTGAATAACGGATTCTGTCTGAGTAATGATGCTGCTGTGGCATAATTAGTCCCGTACTCGGGGTTTTTACTGTAAATGCGGAGAAATTGAACAAACAGGTAATTGGCTGAGTGATTGTGTGGTGGAGACAAACCTACTTGTCTTCAGTGAGTATGAGGAGGAAGTTATATGATGGTTGTAGGAGAATGGTGTAACATAATAAGCTTACGTTGTGACTGTTGACATTAGTGAAAGAAGTTATAAAAAAACTGCATTATTTTTTACAAGTTTTCATTATCGCTATACAGTTCTTAAGAAAAGAATTACGAAAATGGCTTTTGTTTTTTTGTAACTTAGGTTTTCATTCATAAATCAAAGCATAGGAAAAAAAATTATGGACATGGGAAACAGGGAAATGTATGCATGTCATCTCTGAGTGAGTAATGATGAGTATAGTACAAATACTGTAGGTGTATTATCTGCAAAGTACAGTACAGTTTACTTTTGGGGTTAACTTTTAAAGGAAACTAATTTAAAAAAATATGATGTACACAGTTGTTCTTTGTTTTTATACACTGTTAGGACAGGTGTGTGGAATAGTGTAATGTGTTTGGTTCGAATCCGACACCCAGAGGTGTAAATTGTATACGTACATTTATTTACTTTTGATATATTTACTTAAAGTAGTTGTGTGGTTTATTTCAACATCTTTTTATTAAATGTAACTGAGAGTTTTCAAGCAAATGTTTCTCCAATATCTGAATGTTGATACTGTACAAGTGAACATCTTACGGTAGGAAGTGTATGTTCAGAGCAATTTTTTCATATTACTATACGTACATTATCATTACAGTATTGCTTATGTTGCACGGAAGACTTTTTCAACCTATTGGTGAGAGTTTGTTTTACACAGCATGAACTTTTCGTAGGGGTTTTAAAATAAGTTTTAAGTTTTTACATACAGTATTTTATTTTGTTTGGTAAAAACTGTACAGTACCTGAAAAAATATTCTGAAATTTCAAATTATTTCAATGAGACTTGGCCCTGTGCCATCACATAAGCATTACATTGTCTGGGGTGTTGCCTTAACTGTAACTACTCTAAACTACATACAGTATACCGAGCTCCTCCTTGGGGATTTGAGTTCACAAAATAATGAGACAATCATAGGATATTTTTAATTCATCATCCATTATAATAAATTATGAAAGCAGTAAATGTAATAATTTTGTTTAGTATGAAGATACAAGAGAAAGTATGTTGAGTATGTAAGATATATCCAAATAGTTTAATGAGTTTAGCTTTGTCATTAAAAATGGCAAAGGAATTTTATGCTGATTATGGATAATATATTGATGTACAGTATCTCAAAAAAAGTATCTGTCAGGATGGGTCTGATGACTTCCTAAATACTACATGCAACTCGTGATGTCCTGGGAGGGTTGATATGCGTGGCTTTGTGGCATTCTCATCCTACTACTATTGGTAACTTAACATCTTGTTAATTATGCCAAAATAAATACACATTGCATTTATTATGTTAAACTATCTACCAAAGTAAATGCATGTCTCAATGTCTATCATCCATTGTCTCAATGTTTCACACACAGTGTGGACAGATACTTTTTTTTTGAGATGCTGTACACACACATACATACATACATACATACATACATACACACACACACACACACACACACACACACACACACACACACACACACACACACACACATGCAAAAAAAAACTAGATGCTCACCTGGGTTCACTGTGTTTGGAAATGAAGAAAATGTAGAGCAGTTTCAATTTGGTTGTCAAGGATACACAAATAGTGATCAGAATTGTTGGTCCATTATGCCTTCTTGTAAATCTGAGAAAAGGGGCAGATAGTTGTTGTGTGTGTGTCCGAAGATTAAATATAACCCGTGAAACATTACGAGAGCCCCCCTACCACAAGGCAGAGTGCACCAAAAGTTTAGCTTTTCGGCATATGTTTTCACCAAATTTCACGACACCACTTTTGTCTTTCATTGTACGTCAGTAGTGACCCTATTTAAAAATGCCATTAGCAAGTATAATTAACATTTCATAGCCCATGAATAAGACAACCCCCACTTTAACAGAAAACTGTTTGCCTAAATGATAGGTAAAGTAATGTACTGTCATGAATGTTAAGGTGGAAGGTGTGCCTTTTCCATAATTGGTATATTACAGTAGTACAGTACTGTATAGTGAATTTACTTTAGTGCTTTACCTGTACTGG